AAAATCATCACTTCTTTTTTGTATTTTCAATATATCTTTATCAGATGTTTAGTTTACCTAATTTCTTGAATGGATTTTTGTTTCACATTAAAATTTATCTATATCTTAAGACCCAAGATCTTAAGAAAAAGTTTACTATGGTTCTGTATTTAAGCATAATGTTCCCCAAAGTAGCAATGGTTGTGCTTCTAAAGTCAGCTTATTTAGAATTTGTTACTTTTTCACAGAAATAATATTGCAAGAAATAGATCTCAGATGTTATAAAAAAATCTTTTTTTAAAACCGAAAGCAAAGGAAAGTATAGTGATACCTTATATATATCCTGGGGGAATCTGTTCTTTACCTTATGACTTCTCATACTAGAAGGGAGGTTTAGCAGATGGTCTGTTTTGGCAGTTTGTCTGTTTGCAAACCATAGTCATTGTTTGACCACAGTTTTGTGCTTATTCCTTCAATAAAAATTTACCTTTACTTACTATGTGCAAGGCCACTGTTCTTGCCCTGGGGAGGTAGCAGTGAGTGAGGTGGACAGCAGTCCTGGTTCTGATGTACACCAGTGTGTAGCACGTAGCCTCGTGCTGTAATGCACTTAGAAGAGGGTGGATGCCAGCATGAAAAGACATGGCAATCAGAATGCTAGGAAAGGAGCACTGCAGTTCCCGAACCTTCCATTCCTTGGGCTCTGTCTCCCCTTTCCTGTTTGAATGCTTCCTGTGGGCTGTGGAACCCTCTTCTAAATCATAAGATCTGAGAAAGATATCTTTATAGTTATAGAGTGCCTATAGTTATTAAACTAAGTTATATTATAGAGGCCTAATGCTGTGGTGTGCTGGTAAATTCTATAATGGCTTCTTGCTGAAGGTGAAGATCAGGGCCCAATTTCTAGCATTTGTCAATTCTGTGGTGTGAACACTCCTATTATGGCTGCCGTAGTTTGGATCTGGAATATTTCCCAAAAGGCCCAAGTGTTAAAGGCTTTATTGCTAGCTTGGTTGCTGCCAGGAGGTGGTGGAACCTGGAAGAAGTGGGTCTATGTTGGAGGTATCAACACTGGGGCCATGCCCTTGAAGGGGCACTGTGGGACCCCAGCCATTTCTTTTCTTCTTATTCAAGCCTCAGCAGGACAGAGCAGTTTTGCACTCTCATACACTCTCTGCCATGTTGTTCTGACGTAGCCCAAAGCAATAAGGGCCAATTGACCAAGGACCAAAAACCTCTAAAACTTTGAGCCAATGCAGACCTTTCTAAGTTGATTACCTGAGGCATTTGTTATCCATATAGAAAGCTGACTAATACAGAGACATGTTTTGAGCCAGTGTGATGCCTTAATGTGAAGTGGGTCAAGCACCATCATATGTATGTAGATTTCTGCCCTGTGGATGCAGTAGATATAAATAGCACAAAACTAATGCCGGTGATGATTTTGAAGTATTACCTTTGTTTTTAATTTATTATTTAATAATAATAAGCTTATATAATAATTCATTTTTCAGTACCGAGGATTGAACCCAGGGCCTTCAACATTTTATGCAATGCTCTACCAGTGAGTTACATCACAGCCTATAATTTAATTTTTGAATGACAGTTTACACAACAAACACAAGCTTTGGAAAATTCCTGCAAATTTTAACAATCAGTTCTCACAAGCTGGTGCTTGCTGGATCCAACACATGACCAGAAGCACAACAATATCTTACATGGAATCACTATGGCCAGATGTTAATCAGAATCCAGAATGGTTCAGATTTCAGAAAGATAGCATGGAGTATGTGTCATAAAATGTCACATCTCCTGTGATGTCTAAGACAAAATCTTGTAATTAAAACAAAAATGTGAATATACCAAGTAAGTAGATACATTTCTGGTCAGTTCGACTTAGTTTGCCCTCAAATGTGCTTCTTATAAGCTTATGAAAGAACTTGGTTATTGTAGCCATTTGATTCTACAATTTTGCATAAGGCATCTCAAATGTTTATCATCGTTTGCAAGCCAAGTTTGCATTTCTAGAAGACCCTGTGTTTTCTTTTTCCTTATGAAAGAGAATAGAAACTCAAAAGGCTCTCCTACTTGGATCATAATTGC